TTTTTTAACATTATACTACAAACTGAGCATTGGAATAATGTAAATGACTGCTTGAAGTTGAAATAAAGGACTCCTTATGTTCCATGCACTACCCATTTTTTTTTTCAGGGTATGTTTAAACTTCCTAATATAAAAGGATTTCAGGAAACCATGCACTTTCTGCTAAATATTATTGAACCTGTGAAATGTGCAAAAATGGTTCCATGGCCACTGCTTGATAAGAAAGCAGAATCACAATTTCGGATTTCAGTGAAAGTGCTTCTGATGGAAATAAATGGTGTAAGTAAATGAGACATGTTCTGCATTTACCCTTATTTTATGTAATTTGAATTCAGTCATACACTGAATTATTGATGTGTCTAATATACAAGTCATTCAGTTTACTGTGAATTGTAATGTAAGGATACTGGCATGGTTAATGATTATTTAATTATTTTTAAGGAATGGACTTTTATCTGACCAACTCCCTAGTAACAGGATTTGGAGCTTCACCTTTGTTAATACCAAAACCTATAATTGGACACACTCCCTAAACTGTTACATACATGTAGGATTTGAGGTTCTCACAGTGATGATTACGAAGATGGGTGGAGCACCATGTAGTCCATTGACTTCCAGCACATGATACAGCGTTATATCCCAGAAGATATAATGGTTCACATATATACATCTTCTGTTCTCAAAACTAGAGCTTATTTCAGTGGCCTCCATCTATGTCTTCTAAGTGACTTTTCTATCGATGTTTCATGCCATAATGCAATAGGCATATCATTGTTTCGCTCAGGGTAGTCGTCCAACTCATCACAACTTCCTGGGTGTCACTACATGAATAAAAGCTATATGACTTCTATAAATTCAAGTTCTGTATACCTGTTTATTTTTCTAGGACTATCCACAAGCTAATTTGCCCAAAATAAGTCCATCATTTTTAATGAATCCTGGTGGTGAGAAATTTGAATACGTTATGTGGAAGTTGACAAAGTTTGCACTTTTTAGGTGTCTTTGTCAGACATATGGTAAGTCTGATTCAGAAACTTTAACTTCTATCTGTATTTAGTTCTTAAATGAATTAATTTCT